AGCAGACCACTCCAAAGAAAATGGCTGATGCCACAACAGTGTCAAAGAAGGTCCTCAGGAGCTCTCACCCTCAGACCCTGTCATGCCTGAATTCAACATGGCATTTCATTTTGTTCGGAAATTGTTGATTTCTTAGCTAACTGGTTTTTGACTAGTTGGGCCAGAGAAGATTACTATAAGCTTCTCAAGGATAATGATATATGCCCTGGGCTAGATTTGAATCAGGACAGTACTGCTACAAAGTGTAATAATCGTCGACGACTAAGCTACCAGGTCAGTCATCATATTATTTTCTAGGATCCAAGGAAGCTAACATTGGGTTCATAGCGAATATACACCACTGCTGACCAGATTACCACACAATTTTATGGACATTCACAGACTCCAGAGGAAGTTAGCTATTCATTTTTATGACCTGATCTTTCCTCAACCATCCAACCATTTATAGTCTTCATAGGATGAATGGTGTAGCAATATCCTTTAAATATGACCAAAGTGTGTTTGACCAAATGGTGGTTGAATGGTCAAAATCTGGTCATTTGGCCCTTTCTTTCCCTTTTCAATTTGGGCAGCCATAAAGTTCACTGAGCATATTCATGCACCCCAGAGAATGAACCCATTTCAATTTTGGAGAGGACATGAATTCTCTTTTACCGCCACCGTTAGAACAATGTAAAGGACTGGTACGGTTTTCAGATTAGCGCAGCGATAGGGGTGGGCCATGTACTGTTTGGGGTGGTGTTGGGGATGGAAATAGGTCTTATATAATTTTGTCACCAAAACTACTACTTCAGTTTACTTTAGAGGCTCTCCTTCTGGGATTCCTACTGTTACCCAGTCTTACCTACCTAGGAAATCATTATTTGAAACTGTTTGAAAAAGGGCAGGCACTTTCAAAAAATACTTCACATACAAGTGATTGGATGAACCATCTGTCTATCATCGTCTATCAACCAATCACACCAACGAACCATATAATGTAGTCAATTTCATACTGAAGTCATTCAGGAGAAGAACAAAAACATGTTTCATCGAAAAAAAGCCTTCAGTTTCATTTTTGCACTTCCTTCAGTGAAGAATAGAAAATACTGTAAGTTCTGATACTGAACTGACACTAGCTGCATCTATGCTAACCTCTTTAACACATATTGTGACACATATTGTGACACACACCTAGCCTTAAACCACGCTTAAGCTGTTATTGCCAGTAGTTTCTTATAGGATGCTGACTGGGTTCAGAGTCATTTATGGGAAGGCTTGGAAGGAAGGATGATCATGAATGAAGTGAGACACTATAGATTTTAAGACAAGAAAAACAGTTGAAACATCTGTCAGTGCTACAAATGTTACTCTTCACACTAAGCATGCAACAACATAGTTTTAAAAAAAACTCTGTCCGTCAAAATATAAAAATTTAACCAATAGGAATCATAGTTTTGGAGTTTGACTTAACTGTATGAGACTGCATTTTCAAACTGCCACTGAAATTGATGGTTATGGTTGATGGTACTGTTACACTTTCCCTTTTTTGCATTTTTTTTGTTTCTCCCTTAAACATTATAAAATACATCACGTAAAATATATCATCATAGTTCTCTACTCCTGCTGCAACTCACAGATTAATACAGTACTGGTAGCTATAAGATGTACTTTTTGAGCAATTATTGTATGAGACTTGGCACTTACATTTCCCTCTTTTCAACTTTCTGCACACATAGGTGTTTTGCTAATTCAACATTTCTTCACCTCCTCAGCCTCATCTTTCATGCAGCTGGATGGTGAGAACCATTGCCTGAAAGCAGCACAGGACTGCGGCTTGTACGAGAAGTGTGGTTCTCTGCGATCAGAGTACGTCCTGGCCTGCACCAAACGGGTGCCTGGGACTAACCGATGCAACCAGAACAAGTGCCACCGGGCCCTGCGACGTTTCCTGGAACGCGTGCCCGAGGAGTACAGCCTGGGTGTGCTGTTCTGCCCCTGCACCAACACCCTGTGTGGTGAGAGAAGGAGGAAAACCATCGTACCCTCCTGCTCCTACCAGGAGATGGAGGGCCTGCAGCCACACTGCCTCCACCAGCAGAGCTTCTGCCGCCGAGATGACCTCTGCAGGTTAGACGTAAAGCCCAGACAAATGTATGGTTATGTTTATGTGTGTGAATATGTATTGTGTCATTATAGTAGTGTCTCCAAATCCATCAGTTTCCTACCTTGTAAAATTGTATTTGGGTCTCATTGTCTTTTAATTGTCGGGGTAGCCAAAAATTATATTGTCAGTGGCTAATTGACCACCCATGGTGCTGCCTAATAGTTATAGTAATTAACACTTTGGCAGCAAAATAAGATCACTGTTGATATTCTGTTATTGGGTAAAATATATGAAGATATTTGATCTTGTCAACATCATCCAGCCACCTAATGAGTTATAATAACCACAGCTGCATGTAAAGTCAGCAGTATATGGGTAAGTTGTTATTACAGTTAATCTGTGGTTACACCAGAATGCTAACAGCAAAATTCATTCATTCATGTCTTTGCACAATAGGTGGTGTTGAAAACTTGATGTCATAGTGGTTACTTGCAGGGCTAGTTGGGGAGCTACCTCAGGTGGCAAGCTAGGAGTTTTCAGACAAAATGCACAAGAGCAAACTATTAGCATGTTAGAGTCTACATTGGAATGTAAATAATAAAAACAGACCTCTGTAAGTGACAGGCCTTTAATTCTTCTTGCTCAGTAGCGATGGAAAATAATATCACATTGTTTATCTAAATTAGTATGAATATTGTATTAAAGTTGGATATGAAATAACATTAATTACAAATTTGTGGATGATTGAACCTATGTAACGATGTGTAGCATGTTCATATTGACAAAAATATAAACATTTACAGAATATTTGTGTGGGCGATCTAAGCATCTTAGAACTTGCTCAAGCGGGCGACCCAGTGGACTTGGACAGGTTTTGTACAGCCAAAGAACTTTCATAAAATCCAGACCAGGCCTCTAATTGAGACCTACCTTTATTTGTCACAACATGTTCAATGTAGCTGAACTTTGGCTGCAAAACCTGGCAGAAAATCTTGAGCAGCTGTCTGAGAAAGCTAAGCCACTCTCTACATTGGAAATAATGACTTTACTCTGCAATGTCTGACTTGGTGCGATTGCGAAAGCCCTGTAAGCCCTGAAAGCTAGCTCACCGTTAGCGAGTGAACTGAACAGGTTCACACAGTTTATATAAGAGATGTATTTCTACCATCAGCTCCTGTCTCATGACTAACAGCAGACCATTTGTGGAGCAGATTATACTTAAACAGAGTAGGGTTAATATGAAATTGGATGGCGCAACATAGCTAATATGATAGACTCTTTTGTTTAGGTTTCTGTGCCTTCCCGTTCCCTCAGAGCTCAGTACTGTAAGTGTGGTCAATGGCACCAATTTATCAATGTTCACCAAAGTTCCTCAACATTTCTTGTGGATTTACTTTTTTTCTGTGAATGGATATATAAATTGTGGATATCGCATTGCAATGAATAGATTTTTACCATAATTGTACCATTTTAAATGCTGGTGTGATGGGGCCTTTATGATAGGGATGATGATAATGATTGATTATTGATTTAATATTTGGATGGTTTAATTGCTGCTTTAAAGGCTTTTCATCCTGCAGTGTTTAATGTGTGGGGAAAATACATGATACATGACACCAATGTAAGGATATTAAAAATTAGCACAAAATATAAAGGTGGTGATAGCCCTCAAAATGCATATAAATCCGATATAAGTCCTATATATAGTCCTGTATAATAGGAAAAGGCTGAAGTGGGTCCAAAGCAAATGTATCAAGAAGAAAGTGAAGGACAGAGAAAAGCCTAAATGTACAAGTACTAAAATGTGTCAATACTTTCTTAAAAAACATTGCTATTGGACTCAAAACCTCAACATACACTTCCAGATTTCCTTCCCACTTGTGTTTGATGTTGAGTTGTTGTTTGTGTTGTTGCCAGGTCCAGACTGGCTGATTTCCTTAATAACTGCCAGCCATCTCCTGTGACGGCCAGCGGCTGTCTAAAAGACTCAGCAGGCCTGTGCCTCCGAGCCTACGCTGGACTCATCGGTAAGGGGTACAGGGGGAGGTGGGAGGAAAATGGGGAAGGAGGAAAGATGAGTAGTTAAATTACATAAAATGAAGGCTGTATTTTACCTTCACAAGGATATAACTTCCAGGAGAGATTTGAGGATCTAGTTTGTGTGTGTACAATTCCTAGTACAGATTTCCCTGAAATTTGAGAGACAGAGAGGCCCTGGGCTTTTGAACTGTTACAAATCAGTGATTTTGATTAAGTTGAAAACTACAGAGCAGGCACAAAGAAAAAAGAATGGTAGCTTAAGTAAAAGTCAAGATTTCAGGGCACACAAGGACATATATAAAGCAATTCTGTCCTCTCGACACAGCTTCCTTTACAACCTGTCAAGTCATTTCAACATCTGAGATCTAACCTGAGAGCAGAGCACTATTGCATCTGAACCGGAAGCAAAGCAAGATCCTGTTAGACCCCATACCAAGTTACAGCAACCGAAGACGCTGCAGGCCACCAAAGTTAAAGCTTTTTGTCCTATTTCAATCCCTTTCTTCATGCTGTCATCTACCAATCAATAAACAGATGTATGAAAGTTAGGGCCCACCTTTCATGCATCATAAAATACTCAAACTAGTAAGTATAGACTAGTAATTCTATCTCTTATGCTATTTAGCTGCTAAAGTACTTTGGTATTTTGACAACACATCTTTAACAACTGCAGTAATGTAAGGTTAATATAAGTAATATAGACTGAGTTAATTACAATAGCACATATTGTATATAATAGTAAATGCTGTGCATATGAAATATTTATAGATATAATTTCTTCTGAAATAAAAACATAGGCAATACTCATGTATTAAACTCCAAATGGTCTTGCTGTGTAAAATAATGAGTCATGACATTAATGAGCTTTGAGGGATCTAATAATAGAACAACTTTACTTTATAAAAAGTTAAAGCAGTAAATTTGGAGGTTTTCCTCGAATATGAAATAAAGAGAGGACTGAAGACTGAAATGTAGCAAAGCAAACAATTTGTCAAAAAAATTGTACGCTTGACTGCCCCAACAGCAAAAAGAAACGTGGACTATATCGTTCGGACACTCTCTAAAACAGAGCTAATAACACACAAATGTGAAAATAAAAGTACACAGACTCCAGTGAGTGGATGGATAGATGGCTGGAACGGGAGAGTAATGGGTGGAGGCACAAAGTGTGTGAATGAGGTGATCAGACGGAGCAAAAGTGGAGAGGAAGAAGCAGCAAGATAGAAAGTGAGGACGCATGACAGCTGATTAGAGATGTGGATAGAGAAGTGTTGAGTGGCTTCTGCTTACTCTGACAATGATGGATGACTTTTTTAGAAGTGTTATAGCTTTCTTAAAGGCACAACCTGTGTAATCCATATTATTACAAAAGGGTAGCCGCCAGAGACCAAACAACGTGAATGCAGTGCAGTGCCAAATAGCATTTGATCACAGAAGAATGTGACCTCACTTTTAATACTGAGTGAATGTGAGTGTTGACGACTCGCTTGAAAATTGTGTATTGTATCTTAAAGGTTATGACACTGATCAGCCATAACATTATGAGCACTAACCGGTGAAGTGAATAACACTGAGTATCTGGTTCTTATGGCACCTGTCAGTGGGTGGGATATATCAGGCAGTAAGTGAACCATCCTATAGATGCTCTTTTTGTAGCCTCAGACACTTTTACCCTTTTTTACCCCTAAGTATGTGAATTCCAGGGGTTGTTTGGAATATAGAGACACGAACAAGAATATAATCATTTTACGATAAATTTTATAAGGAGTACGGTTAGACCTGCTTCTATTTTTTGAAAAAAGTGTCCTGAGCTAACTTCTGTTATGATTTGGCGCTATACAAATAAATTGAATTGAATTGACTAACCAAAATGATTGTTTTTATAAATCTGTTTTATATAAATGTATCTGGAGCCAATTATGAAACAGAATTTAATGTGTCAACCATCAGAGATACTCTGTGGAGCAACATCAATGGGAATAAATGAAAAAAAAATCTTGCAAATGCAATGTCTCCTGAATCGTCTGGGTGGCTGGCTCCTGCAGCGACATTCACAGCATGCACTAAACACTACCCCTCTTTTATATGCTCAGCTACATGCTGACAGCCGCAGCATTCAGAAGAGCCTGTAACTTGCAGCATTAGGCCTCTTGCCGACGCTCAAGGGTTGTGAGCGAGAAGGAGCCGGAGGGTAAAGCCTCCAGGTGTCACTCAATCACGGCAGCTGTCAATAAGGCCGTCGATACACACTGAGCCTGTAATGTCCAAACCTAAAGCCCTGGTCGATGCGTCAATGCATTCATAAAGCTTGCTGATTTATCAGCTGTCGACAGCTCCAAACAATAAAGCTTGCCAAATGATATGTAGTTTACGCCACACTCAGAAGCAGCAAGCGCGCACACACACACATTATGCATACACAACACAGGCATGCATAGCTGTGTCTCCTTGTGGTAACCTATCAGTTGGTAGTGGGGAGCCCCGGCCTCACATGCCCGCAGACATCACCGCCTCGCTCCTCCAAGACCCTCCCCACTAGTACAGGAGGATGAGCTGCTGAGCACAACCACCTGCCTGGAAACACACAACATTGTGAGTACATTTAGCTCATCATCACCTTCACATTTTAAATTACTTTCAGACTCTTATCCAAGGCTTTTTCTATTTATTTTGGGTTTGAGCTAATCTTGTCACTGTCACACAATGTGTTGTTTTATTTATTGCATTTGTTTTTATCTCCATTGCTAGGGCCTTTTTTTATCGGTTTTTATTTTTTACTGTTTTTCCCGTGCTCCAAAACTTCATATTCCCTCGCTCCTTTTAGATTGTGAGAAGCTGGAGTTTGTGTTTGGCAGGATATTTGCAAATGTTTCAATTTAGCCCTAACCACAATTATAGTACCAGAGGGCCTCCTCCAGTTTAGTTATGATAATGAAGACAAATTTTGAAAACCAGTTAAAAATAAGGTTCATATAAAAGGTCAAAATATATTGGCGTTTTGGTCAAATTTTAATAACCATAATAGAGTTTTACAATTTAACTTTGTGACTTGGTGTTTTAAAGAGGCTTCTACTTAGATTTTTGGTGAAAGTTGCAAAGTTCTTGCAGGCACATCGGACTTTAAATTTCAAAAATAGACCATTGTTTACGTAGCACTACCACGTTAGAGAATTTTTCCAGTTAGGAAGTGGCTGCAATCACTAATTATTATCTCAAAGTCAAAGACAATTTTAAAAAATAGCGAAATGACTCGGTGGTGCATTAAAATAACCCTATATTTTTATGTAATAACCCTACAGCCTGCAGCACTACATGAGCGCTGGCCGTCAACGATGCACCCTTCGTCGCTTTACACCACTTCCCAGTGGTCTCTGAGCCTGAATCGATCAATTAGAATGGCAAAAAATACATTCCTGGCGAGTCATAGCTCTCGACATTGGCTTTAGGTGAGTTTAAATAGTTGCCTGTCAATGATTTTAAACTAAAGTATGATTAATTTTATCATGAAATAGTACAAAGTTGGCCTTTATATCTGAAACGGCACAATGAGACAACTATGCTAATAGCAAAGGATTCATTTGTTCATCATGTAATCTGCTGTTATCACAAGCTGAGAGATTGACACGCTGCAGACTGTGAGGCCTGTGCTTAATGCTGTGGCTTTGAGTTAATGCAAAGACAGCATGCTAACATGTCCAAGATAGTCGTGTTCAGCCATGAACATTGTGACACTGACAGGTAAATGGCTAGACGACTGAGTCAGAGCATCTCCAAACCTGCAGCTCAAAAAAAAAACTGGAGTCAGGATGTAATTAGCCCAACTTAGCATAAAGACTGGAAACAGGTGGAAATAGCTAGCCTGACCTCTGACCCAAGTTCAAAAATTTGCCTCTTAAGTTGACTGATTGACACATTAGAGCTACTGTATCTAAACCAAACACTAACAAAAGTGTGGAAAAATAAGAGGCGCCTTGGCAGCAGCTTCATGCCATGGGGGACACAAATCAAGTGGGGTGTCTGAGGGTCCTCCCCCATTAAAATTCCTGCATTCTGATGAATTACAGACCAATTGAAAAGTCCTCTGCTACTCTCAACATGACTGTAAAAAAAATAAAGAGTCAATAGAGCGAGACACAGTTATCAATTACATTAAGGATCACAACATCTGTCAAAATAAAATAAAATAAATAAAAACTTTTTTTTACTATTAAACTGTTCAGAACAGCTTTCCTGGAAGTTGGCACTAAAATAAACATCAACCTGTTCCGAAGTGAGGGAAATGTGGAGAAAAAATGCAATAGGTCTATATTTAAAACAAATGTAATTTTAACCTTTAGTCTAACGATTTTCAGGAAGGATGAGGTAGTGTATCCTATCTTATGTGTAGAGGGGGGCGGGTCTTCTGCTGATAGAGAGCTGTTAATGTGTGTATCTGGAGAACGATGATGACTCTAATCCACTGACTGTATCTAAGTGCGATCTAATAACTACAGTTCTGGGGTTTCATGAATTTAAGTGGAATCACTCAATTCTGCCTTTGCAGCGCACGCATCTCTGTAACCAAGGCAAGGCCAAGTTTCCATGTCATTCTCCACAAATTCTGATTTAAAACTTCTCCGCTGTGTCTCATGAAACTCTTTTGATTTTATGATTTCTCATGTCGTTCAAAGCAGGTGAAGACATATTCTTTACATGGAGTATGAATGAAAATATGGGACAAATCACGTCACATATTGATTCAATGAAGGACAGTGCATTTTATTTTTCAATATAAGATGATCCTGTATTATACCCTACTTAACAGTGAGTTACTCTTGTAACTATGTCTTGATTAACATCAGTATCTATCTGTATCCCTACTAAGCCCCGCTGCATGTTGTTTGAAAACAATTTGCATATATAACTTTAATGGACCTAACTCCCCCTAAAACCACAAATAGTCATTTTTACATTTCTACTTCCAGTCTTTATGCTAAGCTAGGCTAATAAACGCCTAGTTCCAGCTTATTGCACAGATATGAGAGTGGTATTGATTTTCAGTGTATTTCCCAAAATGTTGATGTGTTTCTTTAAGACATAAACGTGGCATATTTTGGGAGTGTGTGTCACACTCAGCTATGGTGTTTGCTGCCTCAGCTTATTGTCAAAATTTGGGCTTTCTGGCTCTTAAATTGCCAACATGGCATTGAGCAGAAAAACACCAACTCCAGGCTTCAAAACGTCCCTTCAGCTCCCTCAGGAAAAATCCCAGAGTCTACATCACGTTTTTCTACAGGCTATGTTTCAGCTTTGTTTGAACTGAAACAACAGTCTCCTCTTTCTTTTTTCTGCCATGAACCAATTCAGCTGATTTCCTCCCAAATTGCTCAAAGTAAAACTCAGTGTAGAAGCCAGAAGAGGCTTCCAATCTTTTGGGCTATGGTGTAATTTGTCTCTACTGATTGCGTTTACATCTCTGAATTACTGTGATGAATTACTGTGATGAATGGGTCCTTTGACTTGTGCAGAGCTAACATTTGCCAATTCTGACCCCTCTGACTTGTAGGTACCATCATGACGCCCAACTACATCAGCAACAGCTCTGCAGACGTGTCACTGTGGTGCAACTGTGAAGGCAGTGGCAACCAGTGGCAGGACTGTCTGAGACTGCAGCGCATGTTCACCAACAACAACTGCCTGCGTGAGTCTACACTTGTCATGATTTATTTGTTGACTACTGGCCCTCAAACTGAATTGATTCAGTGATGGAATTTTGATTTGATGATTTAGTTAAGACCTTTATTATTCAGTTTTCATGTTTACCATTAATATTTACATTTAATAATCAAATTAACACAAAATAATGTATACATGGGAAACGTTGGGCCAGTATTCCAGTAGGGCGGGAACTGTGTCTGTTGATTGTACACTTATTGTTAACAGTGTACAATCTTTATGCTAAGCTAAGATAGATGTACCTAACACACGGATGAGATTTGTATCGATCTACTCATGTCACTCTTAAACAGAAAGAGAATGAGCATGTTTCCCTAGATGTGGAACTATACTTTTTCCCTAATTTTTGCTGTTATTTGTGTAAATTGGGGTGTAAGTATTCCTTAGAGCCTCACTGCATGTACAGATCTTATTTATTTCAAGACATTTCCTAAGGATACAGCTTAAGCGAATTTCGTGCAACCAATCAAAAATATGCTAAAAGTATATCAGGAAATTATTTCTTGTGGTTTTATGGCATGTGTTACCATCCTATAATGCTCTTTTTGTAGCCTCAGACACTTTTACCCTTTTTTACCCCTAAGTATGTAGAATTCCAGGGGTTGTTTGGAATATAGAGACAGACAAGACTATAATCATTTTAAGAATCATTTTATAAGGAGTACGGTCTAGACCTGCTCTATTTTGAAAAAAGTGTCCTGAGATAACTTC